CACTCTTCATTATTTGGAGAAAAAGGGTAGGCTAAGAACACATACTGCAAGTAACAAGCCAGCATTGTCATCTGACCATAAGGTAGCAAGAATGAAGTTGGTTCTATCTTTTATTAACCCTGTTTTAGGAAATGAGGACCCCACATTTGAAGTTATGGAGAGAGTCATACACATTGATGAGAAATGGTTCTACTTGAACCCAGACAAGAGGAGATTTTATCTCCTACCAAGTGAAGAAGATCCATACATGGCACATCAATCAAGAAGGTTTAAGTTAAAGGCCATGTTCATGGCACTGATTGAAAAGCCACTGTATGGGCCTAATGGGGAACTCATTCATGATGGGAAGTATTGGATATTCTCATTTACAGTTCACGAAAGAGCTAAGAAATCAAGTAAACCAGAGCTACAGGAACAATGGTCACAAAGGCACTCCAAAATGTCAACAGAGAAGAAATTAGAGACATGTTACTCAACAAAGTAATACCAGCTATAATCGTTAATTGGCCTTAGAGTCTGCCTAAAAATGTAATTATTTAGTGGGATAATGCAAGGCCACATCAAATACCAACAAATGAAGAGTTTATTGTAGCAACAACAGCAAAAGGCTTCAACATACAATTTGTCTTCCAACCAGCAGAATCACCAGATTTAAATGTGTTGGATTTAGGTTTGTTTAGGTTTATTCAATCATTACAGTATCAGTCCTTTCCCAAGAATCAAGATGAACTTGTTCAGAAAGTTATTGACTCTTAAAACACATTCAAACCAGAAGTGAAGAAGTACATATGGGTCACATTAAAGAGATGCGTGATAAAAATACTCAAAGCACAAGGGGGTAACAAGTACAAAATCCCACACATGAACAAGAAAAAACTTAAAATTTTGGGTATCCTGCCAGATGTAGTGAAGGTTTAGAAGGAAGTAGTAATTGAGTTTGTGGAGTATCTAAACACAATGTTTAGGTCAGCACCTCAAGGTAATCATGATGCAGAAGAGGACATGGAGGTGGATGCAAACTAAGTCAAGGAAAAAACAGACTCAGAACATCAACATGTATTGCCACACATAACTATCTAAAGTGTTTAGTTCCATTTTGGTCATTTTACTTTGTTTAACTTGTTAATGACTAGGTAGTTAGGTGTATTTAGTTTGTTATGATGTGATAAACCACTAAGGCAGTGATATGTTAGTTCTACTGTAATAGGCTTTTTTTAGCCACATCTTGAATGGAATGAAAATAATGAACGCATTATGAGGTATGAAAATGAATCCATCAGAGGAATAATTAAATGATCAATACATCAAGTCAAACAAGTTTACCTCAACAACCATCCTATTATTGAGATAGTTGGAGCAAATAACTTGTTCAAATTGTAATTCAATGGAGTCCCTTCATCATATGGATTTCACATAAACAAGGTACTCAGATAAAAATGGGACTCCCTGCTGAGTAGAACACAAGCAGCAATGGGGGACTTTTACACACTGTAACCATATTAAGGAAGTAGCATTGTTCTCTACACAATTGATCATTGAGAACAAGACAGACAACCACAAGTTAAACCCATAATAGCAATATCTAACTAGCATCATTATTCATCAATCAAATTCCCTTATCAAGCCATAAGTAATTCATGCCAAATAAGCCTACAACAGCACTAGTCCAAACAGTCCACCAACATCACCAGTCCACCAATATGTGCATAATCCAACTAAAAATATAATCAAGGTAATCAAATAACCAACACAAGAGTAGAGTCTAACAACAAGAACAAGGTAATCAAATTACCAACACAAGAGTAGAGTCCAACAACATAATCAAAGTAATAAAATTACCAACACAAGAGTAGAGTCCAGCAACCAATACACAACAACAATCCCATTAAAAGGCAGCATTGTCATCAATCAAATTCCCTTAAAGGTCGTAAGTAATTTCAGCACAATAATACAAAACACAACAACAATCCAAACACTTTACCATAATCTAACAACAAACAAGAAACCATCAGAACACAAAAATATAGGCCAGTAACACACAACATAACCCAGCAGTCTCTGCAGAATCCATCCATCAACATAAACAAGCTAAAATGCTCAGCAGAAAAAGCATAGTCCAGCATCCAACAGAATCATATTCAATAATCCAATAACAGTAATTACTCAAACAAAAAAACCCACAAATAAAATCATTCAACTTCCAATCCGAAGCATTAAATAGGAACTCATATGATAAACAAGTACTGTTACGCATCAACCAACAAATAAAGGCAGAACAATTAAATTTAAGCAAATAACCAGTACAACATCACAAGATCGGAAGCAGTATATCATAACATCAAATAAGAGGGACTCAAAAAATTAAATTGAAGAAATTAGGGTTAGGAATCGTTACAAGAGCAGTCACTTAGAGGGTTGAACCCTAGGGTTTATCCGCCTCACATAGCAGTGCACAACAGGGACAAAACAAGAGCCAGCTTCAGGTTCCTTGGAAGGAGGTGCCTCATCATCAGGCTCCTCATCAAGTGATAGGACGATAAGCTCCTCGTCAGGAAGCCCACGCATCCTTCTCAAAGAAACACGCGACGCCTTCCGAGTAGCATGCACCTTTGAGGGTGGGCTTTTCCTCTTAGATCTAGGTTTTTTTGGAGCCACAACACTCCCCTCTCTACTCTCAGCAACCAGATCTGCAACAGCTTTAGAGAAATCAAGCGACTTCCTTCAGGACTCCCCTAGACCCTCCTCGCTATTCATTCTTTCTTCCTCCTCCACACTTTTAAGGACTTGACCCAGAGCCTTGTAAGTGTACAGAGTACAGTAGGGACCCGTTTCATTGGACTTGTAAAATTGACGAGGGAAAGGAGAACCAGTCTCGAAGCAATGGATGAGGTTTTGGATCAAATTCTCCTCTCCTTTGTCGTTGGTAGCCATGTAAGCATCCTTTAAGGGATCTAAGTTAACCATTGTTGATGGGGGACTTGTTTTTGCGGAAGATCGAAGAAGAGAAGAGTAGATCTAGACAGAGGAATTGAAAAATCGCAGAAGAAGAGGAGATAGAAAACCCCAGAATATGAACTAGGGTTCATATGGAGAAAACTCTAGAACAAATACAGGAGCCCACCCATTGAATTTAAGTTTTGGTGGTTGGGAATGTAGTAAATGAAGAAAGTTGGGGGGAATTGGGGTAATAAATGGAGGGAGTCATTAGATTAGGGAATCTGATTAGATTAAGGTTAGTGTAATTAGATTAGAGTAAGGGTAAAAATTAAAAAAAAAAAAGGTTAAGTAAGGGTAAATCTGTAATTCATGTCTTTTTTTAGCTAAATATAGAAAGAAAATAGAATGTTGCACATAACTCCGATCATCCCGAAATGACAAAAGTTGCACAAAACAATTAACGGAGGTAGTATGAGGCATCGAAATAAGTGATTTAATTACTTAATTATTCTTTTAGAAAGCATGTTTATATTATTTTAATTCCTATTATCATGTTAGGATGCTTTTATTGCTTTCTAGTCTCATGTTTAGGTTGCTTCCTATTTCTTCTATCATGTTAGTATCATGTTAGGGCTAAAGCTTTAATCTTTATTATTTAGTGAAATGCTAGGATTTGTTATTAATCTTGTTAGTATCCTGTCTAGGATCTTGCTATTATTATAATGCTTTTATGAGATTGAATAGTATTATTGTGATGATGATGATTGTTGTTATCATTAAGTTGCTTGATATATATTATTATTGTTATTGTTTGATCGCGCCCTCTCTTGCAGGTTTAAAAGGAATTTGTATTTGTATTTGTAATCACACTTAATAAGATAATTAATAATCTTGTTTAGGCTAATATGATTATAATTCAAGTGATCGCCAATAATAGGTTTATTTTTGCATTAATTTTAACCAACATAGATTAAACAGGTTTAGGGTTAATATATTGATTGTATGTTAGTCAGAAAGCGCACATGAATATAAGAAGAATAAAGTAGAAACCTATTTTTAAGGCAGGTTCAATCTCTTTTAGATTGGATTTGTACCTTCATCCCTGAATATCCAGTCATGGTTCAAGACAACTATGGAAGTAGTGATCTCATGGATCGTGAAGGGGTGTAACCTTCACCCTGTGAACGGTTTACAAGTTCCTAAAACTTGTTGGCGACTCTTTTGCTCTAGCTTCCTTCCCTTTATTAGACGCCGACATGCTTAAGTGTATGATCACAATAGGGCTTAAGTGTGGGATGATTGAAATATTCCCTACAATATAATGTGTTTGTCTTGAATATGTAATTAATATCAAGTCCTAGTATTGTTTCACCATTTTTTATGATTATGTCAAATGCATAATGTGCCCCTTGATTTTGCAAGAAGCCACTTGAGTGACCTTGGTGAATCCAAACCAGTGGTGCTATGGTTCACCAACAAACAAAGTGGAATGCAACTCTTTTCATTAAGATAGACAATAAGGAACATATTATCATTTGCAACATTAGGAGGGGGTCATAGATATGATTCGTTGTGTAAAAATCAAGGTCGGGCAGACGGTCATCGTTCAATTGCTTTGCAAGTGACCTCTTGCTGTGAAGCTCTCATTGAAGTAGGTGTTCAAGGGTTTATGGTAATTGTCAAGTATTGTATGATGTTATGTATAGTAGGACTATTTTGTTTACTTTAAAAATAATCTGGCTTGTTACATGACTTGGTGTCATGATGGCAATGTGGTACAAATGTGGTCTCAAGGGTTTATTGTAAAATGCTCTTGTAGTTTCTTTTAATGATATATTAAATATACTCTAAAAAAAATTTCCTCAATTAATTTCCCACAATTTGAAATGGACTTGTTATAATATACTCTAACCAAAAATTCCTCAATTAATTTCCCACGCTTTGAATGGACTTGGTATAATATTAAAATGCTTACAAATTTTTCCATAATTATTTAATAAGATGGATCATAGCATTTCAGATTTTTCTCAATTGAAAGTTTCAATTATCGTTGGAAGATGTACACTTCTGAATTGGGCCAAACCACTATCATCATGTGTCAGGGCCTGAATGTTTAAAAACAGAACTACTTTATGTTATAGGCCTGCTTAAAAATTGAATATAAAAACAAAAGGAAAAGTCCATTAAAATTGCATTCAAAAATTCATACAAAACATACATACTATCAATTAAATTTATTTCGTAGTACCGAGTAGTTACTCATAAAGTACACATCGTCACGTTTAGAGCACAACATTCATTGTAACGCATCAATGTAGTCAATTATCCGCATTCCTACCATAACCACTGATCGATTCCTTGTTTGTTTGCAGGGTGGAAATATCATCAATAACATGCTTTGAACCCCTACCGTAAGGCAAATAAGTTTGTCCGTTTACGCCGACCTCTACTTCTAATTCGTACAAGGTCTGCAACATCCTACATAGCACATACCCAATATTTGAGAATCAAAATATATACTGGATTATTCAGTGGAAAAAATTTATCATTAGTGATATAGTACGCATAAATTTATTCACATCATACATCGGACATTGAGGGGGACCAGATGTGTCCCTTGAAACCTTAGGGTGTCTCTCGCCGTATGCCACATCTATCAACTACAATTCCAATTTAAGTGAATTTTTTAGTATATGACAAACGCATTAACGCTCAGAGAAACACCAATAATATAATTAAACAGTAAGATAATAAAATTACCCCTAGTTTACCATAATCACCGGAATTAGTTCGACCAAGCTTTCCTGAATAATCAATTTTGTCCATGTCTAGGCCTTCACTCGAGGATATATCTCCCAAGCATTTGGGTCCAAATTTAGTCAGTCAAGTTGAAAGTCTGTAAGGAAGGCCAACCTTAAATGACTTACATCATATGAAAAATACAAAGTAATACTTTAGCTAAATAATTTTATCAAAATGAATGCCAAATAAACAAATTTCGTGTGAAATGTACTCACTACAGCTAATATTGCACATCAACCACTTCCACCCACAAATCCATTAGCGTAAAACCTCCTTACAAAAGTTGTAACACTTTCTAATAATTTTTTCAAGACCAATTCACACCAATCATAATTTATGTTATCCGTACCACAACTCAAAGCGGGTAACAGATCAGCTGCAAGTCTAGGTGACTGTGTTGGACACAATATCATTTGAAGAGCAATAATTAGGAAAAGGGTTTTGAATTCTTCTTCCTCATGCGCATCGAAATGCCCTTCCAATCTATCTATCATCTTTCCAATTATAGGAATACCAACAGAAGTATATGTGCGGCCACTGCCTTTGGTCTCCCATACCCTTCCATATTTTAATAATATTAATTGCACCTTCAAACGAACGTGCCCACGCATATCCTTGGTTGTAGGAACTGTTTTCTCGCCATTCGGAATTCCTAAAATCCAATGTACTTGGTTCTTTGAAAAGTAAATTGAACAAGCATTTGTACCAATTAGGCACCTATTAATTGGATCAATACGTGTCATGATCCAATAAGCTAATTGTCGGGGTAAATGCATATGAGAAGCAAAGTGTACTAGTCCCCCAAAACCCATCTCGCATACCCATCTAATCTTGCGTTCATCAAATTCCTAGCATATTCTACAAAATGACTCAACCCGGCAGTTCACATTTGGGGGTTGCCATTCAGTTTGGACAAAACATAATACATCAATTAGAGCACATCAACAGGCAATAAACAACTACATTAGGACAGTTACAGTACTTGAACTCACTCTTTGCATTGGAGCTGAATGTTGATTAATCACTTGCCCTTTTTCTTTCACATAACCACCTAAACTTTTATTGGTATCCTACAATCCCACGACTATGTCAACATATAATGTATCACAATTACAACACCGCATTTGGGATAGCATTTTGACATAAACTTTAATTACCGTAAATAATCCAGGATGTAACTGAATGGTTTTGTGAAAAATTCCATTGCTAATTGGTAGCAGCTGCAATTCAAAATCACATCTTTATACCACACCATTATACTACTCTGTAGGATCTAGAATTAAATATCCCCACATGCAACATTTAATGGGATTATTTGATATACAATATACATAGTTTCCATTAGAACTAATTTAACTATGTATTATGTTATGAAACAACAAACCATACCCATTTCCATTTGAATTAATTTAGATAATTATACATTTCTGAGACAACAAACTATATATACCATTTCCATGTGAATTAATTTAAGTAATTATAAAATTCAGTAACAACAAACACTATTGATTGAATTTTTAACAACTAATAACTATTAGCTAATATCATATACTATTAAAATAAATTGCAATTGCAAACTTACGGATTGATTTTTGTCATAGCCTTCAGCATTTTCATCAATCATTGCACGGCTCCTTTTACCCAAATCAATCTTGCCAATTCTGCATAAATAAATTTCTTGAACTTGTAATTAACACAAATAATCAAGAAATTGATAATCAACATAACCAACAATAATTCATATCTAAAAGCATGTTCTTTATACCAAGTGGAAATCGTCGGTTCGTTCAGCAATAGACTACGGAGAGAGAAAAGGTAGTTTACAACTGATTGTTTCCAAATCCTAACCATTGTTCAAAGGAGGTGAATCTATGTTAGGTCCAGTTTAACGACGTCTACTAACCTGGAACGTATTGTTACCTGAGTCTTGGAATTTTTGACATGTCATTGGGGTGAATTTACAATTGCCTCCAACATTTAATATGCGAAATACCTGAAACGCTCCTAAGATTTACGATTTTCGCAAATCATGAAAATTGATATGAATTTGCCGTAATCTAAGCTATCGTAGAACATCTAGAGTGGCATAGAATCGGACTAATAATCAATCAAGAAATGTAGAATTTATAAAGTCACACAATTGATGGATCATCCAAAAAGCAACAACATTTTACCTTGTAGAATCCAAGCATACTACCAAAAGAAATTACAATTTGACATGCCAATAACATCTCAATAATAACAATACCAATGTCATCTTAGGGGGAGGAATAATGGCATGTGATAAAATCAATGGCTTGGGTAGATTTACAAATGTCAAGTAATAAAAAAACTCCCCCCTTAGGAGCCTTTTCCATCCTGCAAGAAAAGCTACCTGATAGGGCATGAGAGGCTCAGAACATACTAGCAGTGAGCAGCATGGTAAACAAGAAAACTTCCATCACAATGAAGAACCTGTGGTAATAACTTGAAAAAAATTAGGATATTAAGAAAATGTATGAAGGTGAAACATTATAGTTGACAAAAAAAAAACAAAGCATGATCCGCAAGTCTTATCCAGGTAACATAATAGCTATCGTGACAGCAAAAATAATACCAAACAAAAATAAAAGCAAAGACATGAATGCCATGAAATCCCAGTAGAGAGAAGATCCTACATAAGAAAACATAAATATAGATGAACTTCAGAGATGCTAGTATAATAGATGCTAGAGGGGCTCAACTTGTGTCCCACGTCTTTGCAAATGTCAAAACAGTACATTAAGTTTAAAGAGGTGAGTCCTAAACTTCCAACAATTCATGGCAATAGGTAAGAAATTAGTTTCACAAGAGCTCCAAGAAACATGATGTCTGTCAAGAATATTACAACAATAACAATGACAAAGGTTAGCAAACAAAAATATGGAAACGAGCCAAAAAAATACAGCAACTTGGACATATTTTATAAAATATATTACCCATCCAGTTAATATGATTCTACTACAAAAGAAGCGTCATAAACAGAAGCTGTGAACTACACACCAAACTTCATAACGAACCACAGTAAAGAATTGACCAGGAAAAGATGTTAAAAAAACAGGGGATGCAACGTACTACACCCTTAAGGTTAGACTAACATCTCAACAAAGCAAGAAAACACAACAATAGAAAACAAATTATTTGATAGATTAAAGTTAAAGTGTTACAAATGATCGAATACGGATTTTCTTACACATACCACTCTGATCCTATTTATGCTACTTTGCGAAGCTAACTAGAATATTTACTACTACTTGTCCAAGATTAATGCCTTACAAACATCAATGCTTTCTGAATTTCAGCAACATGAATAGCATAATCTTCTTCATAATGTGTAAGGCTATATAATCCTACAATATGTCCATCGCTATTCAAAAAAGGGGCCCTGGGTACCACCAAATCTACCCCCACCGTGAAGATTTTAGCTTGAATCAATCTCAATGAAGTACTAAACCCTTTGAAGTCATCAACAAAGAGTGGATTTGATTCAGTTTGAAAATTCGGCAAAGCACCTAGCTGCAACTCATGATAAATGTTTTCGCATGTTCTTTCCACATAAGAGTTGTTATCGACATTGTAAGAAAAAAAAGCTAGGCGTCTTGGATGACCAATTAAATGAGTATCTAAATCCTTAATCATATCATTCTCTTCAAGAAGTTAAGCACGCTGAAAATCGTCTTCAGGTTTGTTTACAACATCCAAAAATGTCAAATCACTTTTTCTATCAATGTACGCTACACGAACATTAAATGCTCTTGAATCAAAACAACCAATCCGCAATTTTTTTTTCACGTGCAACATGAGCACATGTCAATATCATTTGTTTAGAACAAACCTCTACAAAAACTCTTCCACCAATAAGTTTTCTCTCATCTCGAATACAAACTATACTTCTACGCATCCTTTCATATAACTGATTTCTCTCTTCTGCAGTTTATATCTTCAATGACAATTAACAATCAAATACCTAAAATGCATAATATGTGAAATCGTAAAAAAAAAATACAAAAGCATAATAACAAATTTGTATAAAACAATTCTAAGAATTTATCATTACTAAAAACTAGTACAAAAAACAATAGTATCATGTGATGAGTTGTTAGATTAGAATAACTTGTCTCAAGATTGATCTTTATACTTAACCATCCAATTTTTTAACTCACAATACATCTATCACTACCAACTTTGTCATTGATATCTTGTTTTGAAATATTTGAATACTTTATTAAAGAATACACCCAAAGAATTGAGCATGCTAAAATTTAATCACTTGATTTCCAAAAGAAATTGGCTCTTATTGATGTTTAAAGGTAAGCGTGATAAAAAAAATAACAATATATCAAACAACATATAATTATTAACAAAAAATATATAAACTATTCGTAAATTAACAGATAACGTGAAACTATTCATTAATTAACAAATAATGTAAAACTATATATATAATTTGACACAACAATCTATTAAATTAATAGAAAAACGCAAAAATGCACCGATTCAAACCCCACATAACCCACCGGTTTCGAACCGCTGAATATGTGGGGGATGGCAATAATGTATTAAAAAGCCACTTGTAACCGATGGCAATAAATATTTTTGCCACCGGATAACTGGTTGCAATATCAATTTCCGTAATTTTTTTTGTGGGTATTAATTGTATTTACCGGTGGCAATAACATATATACATAATTTTTTATTTTTTTCACTTGAAATTTAATCAGAGTCATAAGGTTTTTTTTTTTTAACTTGAAATTAAAACAACATCAAAATCAATTGAACTTGAAAATGAAATATATAATCAGAAATAAATTTATCATTAAATTGTTATTGTACAATATCCCAAAAAAAATTACAACCTCAAAATTCAAAAAAAAAAAAATTACAACATCAAAATTCTAAAATTACAACATCAAATTCTTGATTCTTCATGTGGATTATATTCAATACCTACATCAATTAAAGCACCAAAATTAATTAAAGCACAAAAAACTAATTAAAACACCAAAATTAATTGAAACACCAAAATTAATTAAAACATCAAAATTAATTAAACTCACAAAATGCATGCAAAAAAAATTAAAAAATATATAGAAAACTCATGCAAGCTTCGAAATCAATAAACCCAAAATAACAATGAGCACAAAATAATAAACGCAGAAAAAAAATCACGAACTCAAAATAATAATAATAATAATAATAATAATAATAATAATAATAATAATAATAATAATAATAATAATAATAATAATAATAATAATAAAAATAATAATAATAATAATAATAATAATAAATAAACCCAGAAATCCGTGTTAAAAAATAATAAAAATAAACCAAGAAATCCCAAAAAAACCCCAGAAAATCGGAGAAAGAGAAACAACGAAACTTGAAAATAATAAACCCAAAAATAACAAATAGATCGAAAACAGTAAACACGGAAAAATTAATGAATAAAATGAACAATAACAAACATATCGAAAACAAACATAGGAGAAAGCGAAAGAACGAAACTTGAAAACAATAAACCTAAAAATAACAAATAAATCGAAAACAATAAACCCAAAAATCCTTACCTCGAATCATCCAAACTTGAAACGAACCCAGAAATGAATGAAAGAAGGAGCGAAAGAGGAGATGAAAAAACGAAAGAGAAAGAGAAGATCAGAGAAAGGGAAAGAGGAGATGAAAGAACGAAAGAGAAAGAGTAGTTAAGAGAAAGGGATGAGAGAGAAAGGACGAGAGAATGAAAGGGATGAGAAAGAGAGAGATAGAGCGACTGAGAGAATGAAAGAGAGAGGCGGCTTAGGGTTTGAGGGTTTTATTACCCAAAAAAAGTCTTTTTTTAAAAAAAAAGGGGGGGTTGGCACCGGTTTAAACCGGTGGGATTATTATTTTTCCCAGCGGTTTGTTTTGAACTGGTGGCAATACTCTTCTTTCGAAATCCCGCCCATTTTTCCCCACTGGTTTTAAAAAACCGGTGGCCATTGAGGGGCGCCTTTTTGCGTTTTTCTACTAGTGTCATCAATATAATCTCATCAAAGCATAATAATAACAAGATCCTAGGTATGAACTCAAGCAAACTTCAACTAATAAAGGTTTTTCTAAGTGTTGTAATTAGAATAGGTGAAGTAGACTTTGGAAGTGGGAGATTAGCCTAATCTAAGAAGACATGAAGAGATTCCAAGGAAAAGTTAAACAAGATAGAAGAAGGGTTCTCTAACAAGAACTATCTAAATTCCCTAACAGGAACTTGAAAACAGCAAGTTAAAGTGTAGACTTGGTCTGCGTCGAAGACAGCAAGTTCTGGAAGAACTTGGCCTGCAAAGTTCTAGTTCAGAACTAAAGTACAAGTGACAGCAGGAACTTAGTCCTGCAATTCCTACACTGCGTAAATCCCAAATATCCTACATTACAGAATATTGGCGTAGCAAATTAGTTTTGTTAAGTTTTATATTTAGATTTGCTGTAAATATGATTGTTAGGTTTACACGTGAGACTTATTAGAAACGTGACAAAAGGCTTGGCAAGCTTCTTAGAATAGAAAAGTTTAAAAAGATAAGTTTTTAAGAAAAGATTTTCTAAAAAACATAATTATCAAAAGATATTATTCTTTTAATAATTTATCTTTAACAAATTTTCCAAAAAGATTTTCTTTAAAATAGATTTACTTAAAACCGTGTTTTGGGATTTTGGAAAAATAACATATTTATCTTTTGAAACCCTACTTTCTATACGAGCAAGTCTTGTATAAATTGTAGAAATCTCATTTCATTGTATTCTGTGAGTTTATGCGTAAAGAGATCGAATTGTGCTTAATTTTGTAAGTTTTTAAAGTTCTTAACTTTGTCATATTAGTTACGGGTTTCATGCGTAGCTTACCTCTCATATACTAAGGGTCTGTATTTTGTATTGGTTGGGTTCTTGGGTTAGTGTGTGTAATCTATCTTTTCATACAGCTGTGTAGGCTTCAAAAGTGAGGCTGAGTGAGTGGTACTCAAGAAGTTCGAGTGAATCTAAGTGAGGGCTTAGGTTAGGTAGGATAGGATCCTACTGTATAGCAAATTTAGTCTGGAACTTGTGAGTAATGGTCTAATTATAATATGTTGCAATTTCTGTGTTTGCCCTATTATAGTGAATTAGTTTAGCTTTGGAAATCCGTTAGTAGGGTCGAGGTTTTACTTCCAGTTGGTCCCTAGAAGGTTTCCACGCAAAATATTGTGTGCTTTGGAAGTTCCTTTAATTTACATTTTGTTTTTATATTCCGCAAAAGTAGTCACTAGGAACTCACATGCAATTCACCCCCCTCTTGTAGTGTTCATCTGAACTAACAGCTCTAGATTTTTATAATTATGTTTTGATTGAAAATGAGAAGAAGATGCTTTAGAACTTGAAAATTGGAGTAAATTAGATAAGAAGACGTGGCAACAAATAGATAATAAAATAGACTTTATCAAAACATACAAAATGTTCAAGTTTCACCCAAAGTGTAAAAAGCTCAACATAACCCATATTTGGTTTGTTGATGATTTAATACTATTTTTCGGGTTACATTGGGTTTGTGAGGAAGTGATTTGCATTGTCAAAAAAAAAAGGTCGTGATTTGACAACTAATTTTGGTAAAAGGTATATTGGTGGAGTTAGTAACTTGGTACTAGTGTTCAAGTTGCAACTCTGGTGAAATGGTGAATTTGTCCTAAGCGAGAGGGAAAATTATTGGCGCATAGGTCCTATATATTTCACTTGCAAATAGGATGACATTTTGTAGATAATGGGGACACGAGAAAAACGGTGGTGGAACAATGGTAAAAAGTACCATTATATGCATAATAGTACATTAAAAGAACTATTCACACAACTTATATTTTAATTCTACATTTTACATGCATAATAGTACACAAAAATGTACCATTATACCATTAAAAGAGAGAAAATGTACCACCGAACCTCAAATTACCCTCCTATATGCATGCAAAATACATAGGCCCTATGCGCCTAGATGCACTCAAGGGAGAGTATCCTTTTAAGGATTAACCCTTAGCACATAGTTCCTATGGGTTTAGCAAACATATAAGATGAAAAATGTACCCTTACATGTATAATAGGTGATAGGTGGTAAATAATTTGGGGGAAAACATTAAACCTATATGATGGTAAAACTACCACTACATGCATAATAATACACAAAAAAAGTACTATTCAGACAATTTATATTATAATAGTACATTATTTATGCATAATGGTACATAATGGTATATTATAATGTACCACTATAGAGTGAACTTTTTCCAAAAATTTGTCAAATTTACAATTTTGCCCTCCGATATGTTTTGTAAACATATAGGAGCTATGCGCCTAACTACACTCCCTTTTAAGTACTTAGGTGTCATGTCTACCAGAAATTTGATTGCAATACAGTGCAACCTTGAATTTCAAAGGTCCTAGCACGAGTTGATCTTGGACGTCTAAGCTTTTATTTGACTGCAATATAGTGCTACCATTAATTTCAAAGCTCTAAATCAGTTATGACACAACTATAGTCCACAAATTAAAGTACTTATATTTTACGACTATTCGTTTAGCAATTGAAAATCACTTCATACAAAATAAATTCCAATTTATTTAAGCACGTACCATATTAATTTAAGATCTGAGCATCAGTGGTGGATCCAAGATTAGGTCACTACCGTA